GCCTCAGTTACATAGTCCTGTCCTTCTAGGGAGTGCCAACAGAACACACATAGAAGSATACCTGGTACTGTGCTAAAATTGTTGGGTTTGGGTCTGGGAGCTGCTATCATCAATTTGATGAGAGAGGGAASTCCCTTTGTCACTGCCAGAGAAATCCTCTTGAGGCCTTCCTGACTCTGGAAAGACCAGAAGAAATGTCAGGAATGAAGGAAATGTTCATGACACATAGGCCAGATGTGGGCAGATACCTGGTCATAGCAGGCTCAAGAGTTTCAGGCTTCATATTGGTTTCTGTACAGGATTTAACTGTTTTTGGCCCACTTTGTGATGTGGTGATGCTGGGGACATGGCATTGACATGGCACATTGCTGACAATCATACTGATGGATTTTAAAGAGCTAGTGGCTGTTGAGTTGAATGTTTTCGAGGATGTGTGTTGGTGTCACAGAGTGCTACGAAGGGGAGATGTGTTCACAGAKACTGCTGCGGCATCACTTAGAAGTAGAAAAGCTGCCAGATTTGCCCACAGTGATGTGAATGTGTCATGGTTTAACCTCAGCTGGCAACCAAATACCACACAGTCACTTGCTCACCTCATCCCCTGGATGGCTGAGGAGGAGAATCAGAAAAAAAAGTAAAAGTGTGTAGGCTGAGAGAAGAAGTTTGATAATTGAAACTAAGTAAAATATAATACTAATAATTGAAATAACAAAAAAAAAAAATCATTATAAAGAGAGAGACATAAAACCACAAGAAAACCAAGTGATGCACAATGCCATTACTCACCACCCACTGACAGATGTCCAGCCGCATCCCCAAGCAGTGATTGGTCCCTCCCATCCAACTYTCCCCGGTTAATATAATGGGCATGATGTTCTGTGGTGTGGAACATCCCTTTGGCCAGTTTGACTCAGCTGTCCTGGCCATATTCCCTCTTGGCTTCTTGTGCACTGGCAGAGCACAAGGCACTGTGAAAAATCCTTGGCTTAGTGTAAGCATTGCTCAGCATCAGCTAAAACATCAATGTATTATCAACATTATTCTCATGCTAAATCCAAACCACCGCTTCTACTAGAAAGAAAATCAACTCTGTTGCAACTGAAACCAGGACAGGGGGACAAATCATACGTGAGATTTACCCTGGCTCTTCTGCTGAGCATGGCATCAGGGAGTGGTCAGTCCCTGGGTACAGCCAGGATCCTGAGAAGGCTGCCCGCAGCAGATCGTGTTCCAGGAGGTCTTTCTGCCYGCCATTATCAGGGTTATAGCCTGGATGCTTATCAGCTGTTTGTGCAAGCTCATTAGTTTGGGCAAAGGCTGCACGAGTGGCATGCGATCRCTCGCTGTGCCACGCAGGCTGGGCGCCGCAGGAGCGTGAGCGAGGGAGGAGGCTGAGCGCAGCGCACGTCCCCCTGCGCTTCAGCACGGCTGCACAAACCAGTTGGGTGCTGTGCCATTGCCTTCACCTTTCATATGTTTCTAGCTTGTTAAAATTATATCTTGATAAGTACATGAAGTMACAGCAGATGGCAAAATCTGAAACGTTCTCTCCAACTCTTTAATTAGGTTTTCAGTTATCCCTTTATGAAAGGCACTCTGCAAGTGTCTGAAAGTATTGCAAGTATTTAAATAGGCTCCTGGTGCGACTTCTCAGAGCTAAAGCCAACACTGATATCTTTATAAAAGGCTTTCTTGGGTTTTCTCTGTTGTTTTTAACCTCTTGTGGAATGTTTTGATCCTGTTCAGATATCAGTTTGGTATCTTTCCTTGACGTGGTGTGGGACACATCAAAAAGTCGGCCATGCAAACGATCTGTATTCCTTACCCCGGCAGCGGTGACACATGTGGTTTGAAGATTGATCAGAATGCAGTGGTGCCCAACAGAGCTGTGGACAGCACCGTATTTACACACTGTATTTGCCATCACTGCCATGTTTACAGAATGCTGCACTCACAGGCTCCCATCCAGAGTTAAACTGACTGCATGTTTAAGCAGCAGGCTGAAAATAAACTGTAGTCAGGGCTGGTAGCKGTGCCTGCTAAAATGTTTGACACTTTCTTTTATGATTGCATCCAAAAGGACATTTTTTACTTAAACTTGGGAAGACTTTTCTGGGAATGGTAAAAAACTAAAAATCAGTAGGACAGTAGATACCACCCAAGTATAGGCTTGAAAGTGTCTGAACTCAGTCAGCTGAAATTCCACCCTTCTTTCCTTTTATCCAAGGTTTACTTGAGGCGCCAAATAGGGAAACTTTAAGTCCAGGAGGTTAAATTTTCTCCAAATTATAAACAGCTGACAGGATATTGGTTAATAAGAGACAGTGCTGACCATGCCACCCATAGTTTCTGTATAAGCACAGAAATACATGGACTACAGCAGGGTAGAATTAGCTGGTCTTTGATGGTGCAGTTGACATACAACCTGCATATGGTACCAGAGTGGAAGTGGATTTAATGATCCATTGCATTAAAGGTATCGGAATAAACTCATGAAATTATGCTCCTTTCATCTGATATGAAAGGAGCAGCTCCAGTAATATTTTGCATGATGTGATATTTACCACATCATTACGACACCAGAGAAGTCTTACTTTCCTGCTCTGAAAGCCGTATGTAGTCAACACCAAACATGAGCTGTTCACAATGCAAAGATCCTATTTCTAGGTACAGCTCAGTTTCAGTATTTTGTTAAAGCTGGAGAAGATGTGAATCATGCTGTCCTAGGTGCTATGCATATAATCCAGAAATGTGTCAAAGCCTTAAATGATAAAAAGTAATGTGCAAAACTCAGGAGATGGTAAATGGATCTAATCCAGAAATTAAGGAGCAGAGTAAGGTTTATATTTACTTTCAAAAGTAATTCATTGGTGACATGTTGAGGACAGCATTTTCTGTGCTAAATTAATTTCTGTTGCACTTTGTTTTATCTTTTCCTATGTTTCTCTAAATGTGCTTCCAACAAAACCTCAGATGAGGAAGAAAATACAAAATGTTTTGTAACAACAAAAATACTCCTGCAGAATTATGATTGACAATTATATGTGATATAATTATGTATGATATTTATTCAATAAGATTTTTAAATATGTTGCCATCTTTATTTAATTATTCCATCTGTCGCAACTAAAAATGAGCATTTTSTAAGAAAATGTATGATTGGGGCTCTATTGAGAACTGTTCAGATCATCCTTCTTTGGGACATGTTAATTGCCAAATTTGTATGGGGCTGTAGAAGGTGTCTTGCTGTTTGGTCTATCAAAGGGTGTTTAAAGAGGAAATACAATTCTTGTCTGTAAATTGCAGCTAGGGGGAAAGGAGAGGAGAAGCATCCACAGGTTAAATAGCTGGTTTTGTGAAAACCAAGTGGGTATGAATCGACTGAATAAATCGAGCTGGGAATTGGAGGGTGTTCATAATCTTTGGTTAAGGTATGCTCTGAGAGAGAACTCAAAGTGCACTGAAACATGATTTATTAAAACAGCTTTTTAAAAAGCTTTTTTGTTAAAAAAGAAAACAGCTTTTTTCTTTYATGTGCCCATAGTTTTGCTAGAATAGGAGAAATGCTGAAACAAAAGAGCCTCTGCGATATTGTGACAGCTTTGTAGAAAGAAATTGTTTGTCTACACTGCAGACTGATCTTACTCATTTTAGTCTGTAAAAGGAAATTGGATATTCCAAGGACAGATTTTGTTTTCTTTTTTCCCACTTTCCCTCTTTTTTCTCCTCCATATACATGACTATTTTCTCAGTATTTGTTGTGTGCTATTGCAAATGCCAATTTTTGGTTTAAATTCCAAACTGACAGTAAAATCAGGGAAGAAAAAGATGATTTTTGAGGTAGAGAACAAAAAAAAATGGGAACATACTAACTTGGTTCTTAAAAATTGCAACACTGTAATATGGTATCKGCTCTTCAAAATACCATTTATTGTTAAAAAGGCTTTCAGTGCAATCTATCAAACAATTACTAAAATSTCTAGACTAGTGACTTTAATAAAGTTCTATTTAGTAACAATCCAACAGGCATAAATACTTTAAAGGTTTTTATTTTATTTGTTTTATTTATTTTGTTTAAAGGCATTCATTGTTGTAAAATGGTATTAATCTGCAACTATAATTCTTTCTTTTGTCTCTGTTGGTTGGTAATTGACACAGACCAATGTGAAAAATAAGGCAAGCTACGATAAGTCAGCAAATTGCCAAACAAGGATTTGAATTTTTATTCGGCTGTGCAGTTAGAGGTAATGTCTAATTGCAGAGTAACAAAAATGCAGTATATGCAAATGTGTGTATTTTCATTTATTACCAAACTTTGCATACAAACAAGGGGCAATAAACAAATCAGAACTTCTGATTGAAGATGGAAGCGAGTTGGTTTAAGGCTTTTTAAAAGCTTTTATAAAAAGCCAGAGCTGTTCATTTGTCACGGGTCAGGCTGGAGGAAGGATGGAGCGTATGGATGGGATTTTCAGCGTCCCTGCGCGCTGGCGGCGGGGGTGAGGCACGGGCAGCGCTGCGGGCAGCCGTGCCCAGGGTGTGCCAGGGCTGCCCCCGGCTGTGCAGGAGGGCAGGAGGGGACAGCAGGAGGGGCAGGAGAGGGCAGGATGGTACTCACTCCAAACCGGAATGCCGGAGGTCCCGCTGCAGCGGAGAGGGAGGCGAGCCCGAAGCACGGCCGCAGCAGCAGCGCTGGAGGCTGCGAGCAGGGCAGAGTGCCAGCACAGGGGCTCGCCGGGAAGAAACAGCCCCGGCAGATGCCTTGCTTTTTTT